AGAAAATGGAACAGTCTGAGAAAGAATGGAAATGATGCTGTTGCTCCATGAGACAGAGCCAAGCGTGAGGGACTCCAGGATAAATGATCCAAGGCTGTCTATGAAACAGCTCACCTCAGCTTGAGTGTTGGGTGCCTATTCAGTAGAGCAGTAAAAACTCTGCCATGGCTGGCACAGCTGGAGCTCCAAGACAGTCATCTGCAGAAAACTAGTCTTGATCTCCATTTTGCAAGAAATGTCTGATCAAGAGATATGGAATACAAGATTGCATCTCTACTTCTCTTGGGCTCTCATGGGAAGTGAGTGTGACAAGTAACATAAACAAATGTAGACTGAGGAACTACTCAGTAAAGCCCTAATGATTGTAAGACTTGCCATTTATGGTGATTAAAAATACAAAATGTGCTGAACTTCACTCTGTCTCAGTAACTTTGAAGAAAATGCTGTTTTAAGAGGGAGAAAAGAGAAGGTATAACTTTAAAAAATAAAACCAAGTTTAATGTCACACAGAAGTCAAAAAGCCCTTTGATGGCACATATTTTACTTCTTTTAGGGGCCATGAATTCAAAGGAGGTGAGATGCTGAACCTCATAAAGCTGCAAGCCAGGTAAATGATCTAGTATAAATTCACTTTATTGTTTTCTAGCCACTCAAAACAACCTCTGTTCTGAGGAATTGAGGGGCCTGTCTTGAGACATTGCCATTAATGTCTCCTTTACAGATTTGTACATGCTGCCATGGTGTAAATAATTACTGATTCAAGGGAGTTTTCATACTTACGTTAATGGATTAAAAAGTATCAGCAAACTGACTAAAGTTCAGAAACCAACACAGTGACAGACGTTCTTAAAGCAAAATCCACTGTGGAGCAGTTAAACAGACCAGCAGTGATCCTAGGCTGCATTTGGTCAGCAGAGTATGCAGTAAATTAATACCAGATCCTAGCAGAAGTCCCCGACTGTCTAGGCATGGAGCATCCTTTTTGTCCAAGGTATTGTGACTGCTCTTTCCTACCTTGTTTTTGTTTTTTATTGAGGTATCATTTATATACAATTTTATGAAGGTTTCATATGAGCAACATTGTGGTTATTAAATTCACCCATATTATCAAATCCACCCCCCAACACCGCATTGCAATTGCAAGTCACTCTCCATCAATGTAGTAAGCTGCTATAAAGTCACTACTTGTCTTTGTGCTGTACCGCCTTCCCCCGACCCCTCTACATTATGTGTGCTAATCATAATTCCCCTTAATCCCTTTTTCCCTCCCTCACCACCCCCATCCCTTTGGTAACATCTAGTCCCTTCTTGGAGTCTGTGAGTCTGCTGCTGTTTTGTTTCTTCAGTTTTACTTTGTTGTTATACTCCATAAATGAGTGAAATAATTTGGTACTTGTCTTTCTCTGCCTGGCTTATTTCACTGAGCATAATACCCTCTAGCTCCATCCATTTTGTTGCGAATGGTAGGATTTGTTTTCTTCTTATGGCTGAATAATACTCTATTGTGTATATGTATCACATCTTTAGTTTGATGTAGCCCATTCATCTACTGATGGACACTTGGGTTGCTTCTGTATCTTGGCTATTGTAAATAGTGCTGCAATAAACACAGGGGTGCCCATGTCTTTTTGAATCAGAGAACTTGTTTTCTTTGTGTAAATTCCTAGGAGTGGAATTCCTGGGTCAAATGGCATTTCTATTTTTAGTTTCTTGAGGAACCTCCATATTGCTTTCCACAATGGTTGAAGTAAATTAATTCCCACCAGCAGTATAGGAGGGTTCCTCTTTCTCCTTATCCTCGTCAGCATTTGTTGTTCCTTTTCTTTTCAATGTTGGCCAGCCTAACTGGTGTGAGGTGCTATCTTATTGTGGTTTTAATTTGCATTTCCCTGATGATTAGCAATGTAGAGCATCTTTTCATGTGCCTGTTGGCCATCTAAATTTCTTCTTTGGAGGAGTGTCTGTTCAGATCCTCCACCCATTTTTTAATGGGTTATTTGCCATTTGGGTCTTGAGGTGTGTGAGCTCTTTATGTATTTTGTATGTTAACCCCTCATTGGATAAGTCATTTACAAATATATTCTCCCATACTGTAGGATGCCTTTTTGTTCTGCTGATGGTATCCTTTGCTGTACAGAAGCTTTAGTTTGGTGTAGTCCCACTTGTTCATTTTTGCTTTTGTTTCCCTTGCCTGAGGAGATGTGTTCAGAAAAAAGTTGCTCATGTTTATATTCAAGAGATTTTTGCCTATGTTTTCTTCTAAGAGTTTTATGGTTTCAGATCTTTGATCCATTTCGAGTTTACTTTTGTGGATGGAGTTAAACAGTAATCCAGTTCCATTTTCTTAGAAGTTGCTGTCCAGTTTTTCCAACACCAGTTGCTGAAGAGGCTGTCTTTTCCCCATTGCATATTCATGTTTTCCTTATCGTTTATTAATTGAACATAAATATGTGGGTCTGTATCTGGGCTCTCTATTCTGTTCCATCAACCTATGGGTCTGTTCTTGTGCCAGTACCAAATTGTTGTGATTACTGCAGCTTTGTAGTAGAGCTTGAAGCCAGAGAGTGTAATCCTCTCAGCTTTGTTCCTTTTTTTCAGACTTGCTTTGGCTATTCAGGGTCTTTTGTGGTTCCATATGAATTTTAGGAGTATTTGCTCTAGTTTGTTGAAAAATGCCCTTGGTATTTTGATAGGGATTGCACTGAATCTGTAAATTGCTTTGGGCAGGATGGCCATTTTGACAATATTAATTCTTCCTCTTCATGTGCATGGGATAGATTTCCATTTTTTGGTGTCTTTAATTCTCTCATGAGTGTCTTATACTTTTCAGAGTATGGATCTTTCACCTCCTAGGTTAGGCTTATTCCTAGGTATTTTATTCTTTTTGATGGAATTGTAAATGGAATTGATTTTCTGATTTCCTTCTGCTAATTTGTTGTTAGTATATAGGAATGCAACATGAATCTCTGTATTAATTTTGTATCCTGCAACTTCGCTGAATTCAGTTCTAGTAGTTTTTTGGTGGATTCTTTAGGAAAATCATTGAATTTTAGATGTAAAAAGAGAACTGAAATTATAAATTATGAACATTTAACTGAATCTTTGCTAGTCGGGCCTAAAATCCTAGAGAGCAGAAAAGGGAGATAATGTTCTGCTATTGAAAATATATGTTCAGACCCTTTTGCCTCCTGTTTCCTTGTCCCGGAGAGTGTTTTCATGCTTGGGGAACCAGAATGCTTTCATGTGCCACTGAGACAGGCCCCAAGCTCTGAGGACAGAAGCTCCTTTATTTGGGACCTTGTCCTATGTATCTCTTCATCTTGCTATTAACTTGTATCCTTTATTAAACTGGTAAATGTAAGAAGAAAAAAACACATATTCAGAAGTTATCAGTTTTTAGGTTCTGTATTTCTCCAGAAGTGCCAAGTTTACCATATTTTCTTTTCATCCTATCTCAAGATTAAGGCCTAAGCTCCAAACTTGGAAGAGTAGATATAATGGCCACAATTTTAATATGTTGAATTAATGGTATTTCATTCTCTGCAATATAAAAAACTAGAAATTGACTCTCAATAAATTTTCCTAATTTGGGAAGCTGCCGCCCTCTAGAGGGAGGGTTTGGAAACGTCAGGGGTAGAGTACTGTTGTCATAGGGATGCGACAGGGAGTGCTGCTCCTTGACATTGAGTACCTGGGGATGAGGGATGCCTGACATACAGAAATGAACTCTTACGCATCAAAGCTACCTTCCCCAGGATGCGAACAGTACTGACTTTGAAATACGATGAAAGAGATCTGTTAAGTTTTTACAAGTTGCATGTTGAAATAATAACCATTTATTCTAAGATGACTTAGTGAGAAGGGAGCTAAAAAATGGGTACACATTGACAGAGAACATGAGTCTATCTGTTAAGAAGTTTATGCTAAACGTGGGTCTATAGGAAGTTCATGGATGTGACTGCATTTCAGGCTGGCTTATCCTACTGGCATTTATCTCAGCATTGGGATATGGGACTTGGCCTTACCAGCTGTTCACTGAATGTAGCCATAGTACTCAACTAGGAGTAACAAAAGGTAGACTTTTGATTGATGTAGTGTTATAGTGTGTACAGGCAAATCTTAATGAAATGGTTAAAGTGCTCTGACAGTTGCAGAATACTTTGGGTGCCAGAAAGATAAAACTAGAATCTTTTTTATCAAAAATTTGCAGGTAATTTTAGAGTATGTTAGTTAAACTTTGTTTACCAGTGTCTATTCTCCCTTAATAAAAATCTGAAATGGTCATCATTTCCCCTTACATCTCCTAGCTTCCTTGTGGGTGGGTGTGACTATGTAACTCTTAGCCAAGTGACAGTGTGAAATGAGGTATACAACATCCAGCTTTCCCTCCTTTTTTAGGAAGCTGCGTGCTCTTTACTCTCTTCTCCTCTTCCCACATGCTGTGAAAGGATGACAACTTGAGCAACCACCTTAGACCTAGAGATGAAGCCAGGGAGTTTTCCACCATTTCAATCCTTGGATGACTATATGGAACACAGAGCCCCTACTCACTTCTATTTTATTTAAGCTAAAATGGCAGAAAATTCTGCCATTTTCCTATATGCCAACTGCAAAGTTGCTTTCTCAGCTAGACTCTAAATAAGAAATGACATCTGGTCTCAATAAAAAAAACAGTAGAGGGAGAAACTTGAATATAGCAGAACTCCTTTTTAGGTATATTTGGGTTATGGATACATACATATATACACCCTATAAAAAACTTGTATTTATAAACACAGTATGTTACAAATAGGCACAGTTCTGAGTAGTTTAAAAAGGGTCAGAGCAGGGGGATTTTATTATAGATATATTTAATACAATTCAGTATATGTAGTTATGTTCATTTCTATTACTATTTGCAGTTTTGTGGCTTCTCCGAAGTTCTCTTGGATGAGCCCCCAAAGATGACGCTGGGGTTCTTGTTCACGAAGCCAAAGAATGAGCTTCACAAACACTCAAGGTAGGAGAGCAAGGAACAGGCGTTTATTTAGAAGTAAAGTGAAAGGACAGAGCTCCTGGCTCATGCCAGGAGGGGACAAGAGAGTCCCTGAAGTTATTAGTTGTGTTCAATATATTTAATATTCACCCTGACCAAGCTCAATTTCATGTATTTATCTGCTTTTTCTTCTTCTGCAGGTTGTACACGAGGGAAGGAGGCTTCTTGGTTTTATAGGCAACACTTCTCTTGATGCGCTTTCCTTTGATGTTAACAATATGTGGCAGGAGAGGGGGCCGGACTGTTAGAACTGTTCCTTGAGGTGTGTAGCCTCGGAGATGCAGTCTGTCCTTAAACTGAGGCGTTACTGCAACCCAACCTATGCAGGCATGTGACAAAACAAAAAGTGGTGTTGGCAACCATTTAGTAAAAAACACCAAACCAAAGCTCAAGATGTAGCATCAAAAGAGGCTACATTTCTATAAAAATATACTAAGTCAGTTACATTTCCCTGTATGGCCCCGGAAGATGACTGGTTAGCCAGAGACGGGTAAGATTCCTCAAGGGAGGAACAACCTAAGACAGGCACAGTCGCAGGGGGTCCATCAGGTGAGAAATTGGGGATCAACAGAGGTGAGGCTTAGAACCTCCCCCCCTCCCCCCCGTTCTGAGAGAAATCTGCATCCGTGGATATTTTATTGCCCTTGTCTAGCTTGGATTAACACATAGTCTACAGGCACACACCTGATCATCTACATTTGCTCTCTTACAACACTAAACTATGTTTTCTACCTTTATCTTGCATCTACCTACCACTTCAGCATTTTATTAAAAATAAAAATAATAA